TAAAAATCTTCCCTAATACTACAATCTTCAATATACCTCACACATAAGGACATTTGTTCTATTCGTGATATATCGCAAGTTTCGTCTGCTAAAATAGAAAAAAAGCCGCATTTTTAATTTTGGTTACTATTTGAGTCTGGATGGATGCACCACAAATATGTATTAACTCGTTTTGTATAATTGAGCTTAAAAATAAAACTATAAAACAGCATTAGCTGCTGAATTTTCTAAATGGTCTTTCAATATTAAATCTCCAGATTGCGCTCTAAATCTTAACAACGATTTGAAATTTTCATCATTGTTATCAGCACTGCAACTAAAAATAGGTCCTCTGTCATTATCTCCTTTTAATGCCACTTCCTGACGACCACAAAAAATAATTGTTTCAATAATTGGAACTAGTTTAGCACGATTTTCCAATACTATGTTTTTATGTGCTGAATCGATAGCAATATAGATGCCCGATTTTTTATTATCTATTATTTTTAAAAATTCATCCGCTCRTATTACAGACAATTTATGGTATTCTGCATTAGGATGTAATTTAAAACATTCCAAAGCATCTTTCCATTTAATAAAAGGTTTACTTACTAAAGCACCCACTTTTTGATTTGAACCTTTTCCGGTGCACTCATTAGAAAATAAAACACATACTTTACATAATACTCCTTCTAGTTGTTTTGAATAAACTAACCAAGAAAACCATGTTAACCAAGAAATTTGGAATTTTAATTTTCTTTTTGACACTATCGGAAAATTATAATTTGAAGAAGGAAGCCACGGATTTTTTAATAAATCGTACTTAAATTTATCATCAGTTATTCTAACATCTTACATACCGTCCAATATCTCGAAGTTCTGGTAAATCTACAATACTTTCTATTGCATCGTTTTCAGTAGTAGACGCACACGGAACTCTTTCTGTAGTAATTAATTCTGAATCCAATTCAGTTTGATTGGTTTTCTCATGAAAAAAATTAAATATTGACGACTGAGATGGCAAACTTCGTTTCATTTTTCAAAAAATGTATAAAATAAAATGCAATAGTAAACAGCTACACAGACACACACTTATTAAGAAATAGAATCAAATTAAATACACGTTATATTTTGTATTATTACTGAACAGTGAATACTTCTGAAAAACACACTGAACAATATACTGGCGAACACGGAACAATTAAATAGCTATAAAACGATTAAGTCCGTCTTCCGACAAGATTGCAATAACATAGGTATCCGTTTGATATTTTCTAAAAAAGATAACATGTAATGACTAGAGGGAAATTTACAAATGCTTAAAATAAACTGTAGTTGTACAATAATTATACATTTATATATAAAGACGTATGTAGTTAGTTTTTGTTACCTATATTATAAAATATATATACCTACTGAACCCCTAACCCCCCCCCCTATATACGGTCCTGTTATTGATGGCAATATGATATTAATATATAGATATTTATGGTATAAAATTGTTTTAAAATAAAGTCTCAAGTTGGTAGTTAAGTATAGTTGTATACATAACACAAGGGAATTTATTAAAATAATATACAATATATTTATATGTATATGGCGTGTAGATTAGCCAGATTAGGTAGGTACCTATGTAAAAAAAGRTGTATAAAATAAAACACAAAATAATATTATTAAATTTACAAACAAAAATAAAATAAGTAAAATATCATTTATCAATTTATAACAGTTTATAATATTTTTTTCTTGATTTTCGTAAAACAACAATCTCAATAATGTCACATTAATCTTGATTTTTTCACTCAAATCTCAATATTGATCTAGTACAAGAGGTGCTAATTATTAGTTAAGCGTTTAGATGTTCATCCACTACGAGGGTACAAATTGGTGAGGGGGGGTAAGAAAATAATGATGTATGCAAAAAAATATTACAAATGCTTTAATTCATATACTTAGGTATTTTATATTTCATCTATACCTGATACATAGGCTTTTGCTTAATGCTGATCACTTAATCATTGAACTAATCATTTTATGTTCGTACAAAATAATAGGTATTAAAATCTATAGTTTCATTTAATCCCCTTCCCATAAATTACCCTATCAGCGCCTATCTTCCATTACACAACATTTTACTTTACATCGTACTAATGAACTATTATTATATGCAATGTATAATATACATACTATATTCATTGTATAGACTATAGATACGGTAGTTGTATTTGTAGGATTTCTTAAAATAAAAGTAATTTAATTAATATAGTTAAATATGTGTGTACGGAGTAATTTTTTAATGTTACCGTCAATAGCCTTATTCGGATACTTAAATTTCCATATTTAAATATACATAATATTATTTACAACGTATTACATATATATATATTTATTTACTTGGGTAAGTAACATAATATCTATTTTTGTTTCCACTTTTTTCAGTCTTGGAATCTTTCTCGTAACAATTATACATAATAAATTCTAATCACAATAATTTTATACCTATTTGTATTCATTTAATATGATCAACAAGAATATTTTATATTGAAAATTAAGATAAATTACCATTATATAGTAAAAGTATTAACTACTATGGATTATTGAATTTATAACAGCTTATCATTCAAAGTATTTAAGCATCTCTTTTTAATTTTTGATAATTGAAATCGTATAGCGTAGAGCCAACATATTATTACGGCGATACCAATAACTGCACTGTATGTCTTTATAATACACAGTGACCTGTTACTCGCTATATTTCAGTATAATATTATTATCTAAACATTTAAATAAGTACTTATAAATAATTAATTGTTGGTTCAAATGTTCGATATTCGAAATTTATGCATCAATCATTTTCAGACTAAGAAATTAAATGTATAACATTATTAAATATAGGTACCTACAACGTCATCAGTTATAACTTAAAAGACATAACCTAATACAGTTGATTCATAAAAATAAAAACGGATAAGTCGTGGATGTGGCTCTGCTGTACAGTAGGTACAAATGGGTTACAGTAATGGATGGAATTAAATGTTTCTGAGCGGAAGCGGTTTTTCTTTCTAGGATATATTATAGATAATTAAAAATTTGCAAATCTTAGATTTAAAAAGAAAATTTTCTAAGAATTTCTAGCCCAAAATAATTTACGAATTTTCGTGATTTTTGCGTAGGTATGTTGTCAAAATTCAAAATTTTGAATGCTTATAAAAAAAATTGTGACTGAATTTATTTTATTTTTCAACTGTTATTGTAAAAATATGTTAGGCGCCTTGTATTTAATTTTCAAGCTTTTCTACCCAACAAATACATTTTGATCGATATTAATTTTAAATAAACTGATAATGATCGAAAATTGCATATGACTATAAATAGTTCAACTTAAGTAGACATTTTTTGAAAAATGTACGGTGGATAGAATATACTTATATAAACATTCGGTGAACATTTCATGTATCTATCTATGGTCATTTGTTTTTAAGTTATATCAAAAACGAAAACTGATTGTGCGTAAAACTTCCCGTTTTTCCCTTAATTTTTAGTTTATTTAGAAAAATATTGAGAATTTTTTACTTTTGACCCCCCAAAGTACCAACTAGATTCACTTTCTGATCAAACGAGTTATTGAAGTTGAAAATCCAAGCATTTTTACTGCCCCAAAACGTGATGACACTGATGACAGACACAAAATTAAAAATTAAAATTAAAAGAATTTAAAAAAAAACACAATATAGTTACAGAATTGTGTGTATATAGAAACAATTTACTGTTGTTTTGTAAATAATAATTATACTTATATATAATATACTAATCCACTTATAATTATTATCATGAGATTATATCTATGGACTGATGATTTGACGAATCGCAATTTTTCTTTTGGGCGTTGTTCAAAATTGAGCTTTGCGTGTGTTATAATATAAAGTTTAGATTATATATTACATTTTCCTGTATGTCTGTTACGTTTTGACATTAACGTAATAGCTTGTAATAGGTACTGTTGACCTGATGGCTGCTGATATATTTAAATAATATATTATACCTAAAATAATTAAATTCTAATGCCTATTTTTATTATAAATTATTATTATTATTATTATTATTATCATTGTTAATAATTATTATAATATTATTCATTATTATATTGTAATTTTTTGTTTACCAAATTATAAATTAGGAAAACTTGCAAAAGCTATTGTACCCATAAATCGATTAATATTTTATTTAATATTTAATATTTAAATTTTATAATTTACTATTTAYATTATGTGAAATGAAGTGTTATCTCCATAAAATAAGGAATATTATTATAAATATTTGATTTTAATTTACAATTTGTATGTATTCAGTCTTAATACACYCTCATGGGCAATGGTTGACTTGAAATTTAGCTACTTTAATAAAAAGTAGCGTCCCTAGTTTTTAATCAAACTCATATAACTATGAGGGGGAGGGGGTCACCCCATCACTACCCTTTATGGTCCCTTAAGAAGCATAATAAAAAATGAAGAAACACGTATCAATGAATCATAATATATACAATAATATCATTATTTATTAGGTATAACTAACGCCGTGTCCTACGTGAGTCCGGCGAGTGCGACGAAAAACAAAACAGCTTGTATTTCGCCGCATCGGACGCACCGCACTGAAGCGGAAGAGCTACAGGCTTCAGCATGGTCAGAATAGAATTCGTTTGCACTTGCCGCACTCTCCGGATATCATGGCCGGATTCACGAACGACACGGCATTAAGGACTAAGGCATGACAAATAAATAAAATTTGTCATGGACTAAGGTACTTTTTACYAAAAATATACGCACTTGTAAGGTATATACAACACATGCGGATATCACGTCCTCTTAATTTGTAGACCGTCAGCTGTCTATGGTACCTATTCCGTATTCGTATTATAGATAAGTGCGATAAGGAACTTTAATGTTCTGTGGTTATATCACAAATTAAATAATAACGTTTTAACTTAAATTTTATCATAGAGTAATACTACTCTATGTATTATATTGTATTGTAATCTATTATAATGCCATAATATAGATAATTAACGAGTTATCTTGATTATGACATTTTCAAATTATCTGTGAWATAATAGTGATATTAGTAAGAAGAAGAACACAGAATAAATTCGATCTATTCTGTGTTAGTAATACAGAAAATCGAAATGGTATACTCTTATGATAGGTAAGTCGATAATAGCAATTTTTTTTGATTATTGTGACTTGTGAGTATAAAATTGTCTAATACCATCAGCATCGAACATACAGGTACTTGACGCCAGTGTCAAACGTCAAATCCGCTTATGAGTAATTAGACTAATCGTCATGGCGATTTGATATTTCAATTTTATGTGACTTGTTGCTTAAAAAAACTATTTGGTTTTTAGGTGCAATTTGTGTATTCATTGATCTATTATGGAAGTTTCCAGAAGATGCAGTTGCAGCTGCTGTAATAAATGTATGCAACATCCGGCATTTCATACAATCCAGAAATTAAACAACATCTATACGTGTTTAGATCGATTAACCACACTAGATATAAGTTCTAGTAGTATCTGTGAAGCACCTGGATTTATCGTGAATCTTGTAAATATAATCAAACTTGATTTATCATCAAATGAATTGGAAACGCTGCCATTGTCATTTGTCAACTGTCAAAATTTAACTGATCTCATCTTGTCGCATAACAAATTTTCGCAAGTTCCCCAATGTATAATTGATGGAATGCACTCCTTAAAAATACTTGATTTATCTCACAATCAGCTCTCGGATATCAGCATAAAACCATTTTGTGTTCAAAGATTACGAAGTTTAAATATCAGTAATAATTCAAAACTGGATAGCCTTCCACAATGGTTATGGTCAGTTGAATGTAATTCATTAGAGTCATTGGATATATCGTTTACAAATTGTCTAGACAACATTGCAGTAGATCCTTATCTCAACATGTATGGTATTGGTAATCATCTGAAGTATTTGGATTTATCCAACACAAATTCTGATGTTCAAAAATTAGATTTTATCAAACATTTAAAAAATCTAAGAAATTTGGTTTTGGATAATAAAATTACAATGATAAAAAATTATCGTAATTACTTCTGTGATGTACCACTAGTATTTAATTATCGATTTAAATTTATTGATTCTCTAAGTATGATCAATGTTGATCTATCAAGCATTGGAAAACTTGTTTATTTCAGTTTGCCAAGTATACGGTTTTTGAATTTATCCAACAATTCTATTGTGTTATTGCCAGATTCCTTAAGTCAATTAAAAAACTTAGAAGTCTGTGATTTTTCAAATAATCAAATTTTAACAATTCCTGAAAGTTTTAAAAGCTTAAAGAATTTGAAAAGTTTAATATTAAATAATAATTGGGTTGGTATGTTTAAAAATTTGTAAATAAATATTTTATTTTTTTAATTTAATATTTTTTATTAGATATCAACATTTCCAAAACTCATTGAAGACCTACCAAACCTAGAAGTTTTGGATTTGTATTCTAATAAATTAGATATATGTCCATCATGGAATATAMATTCTAAWATAAAACTAATTGATCTAGAACAAAATATCTTTTCTACTGAAGATTATGATTTTGATATTAAAGTAAGTATTAATATAATACTACAGTCTACATTTCTAAGATAGATTAAGATTTTATAATGCAAACTTTCTTCATAATAAGTAGATTTAAGTAAATTAACAAATAGTGGATCTATAAAACACACAAACAACYTAAATCTAATATTTTGACATGTGCTTTTAAAGTTTACTTGTTTGAATTGAATGAAAAACAATTGCGTAGTTAATGTTTTGTGTGGTTTTTTTATAATTCAATAATGTGGTATTTATTTTTAATTATCTAATGGCCAAATACATRAGTTAAGCAAAAAGCTTATAGGCATTGGTTAAAAAAAAATAAAAATAAGATTATTACTGATTAATACACAAYTCAAATAAATTCTTATCTGAAAGTAGTCCAACATTAAATATTATAATGATTTAACAATTTTAATTATTTATGTATAGTAAGAATTTTTGTTTATGAATTATACTTTAAAATATACTTAAATACTTAATGAATGTGAATCATGCATTTGCAATTTCCATATTATTTTATTACTATTCTAGAAATCCATTAACTACATTTTTATATTGTGCCTGTTTTATTACATYGTTGAAAATAGTATGTTACTTATGCATTTGTATAATTAATTACCATTTCTTGATAGGCCAATTATTTAAAGTTGYTAAAAAATCTACGTTCATCAATTACCGAAAGCCGGGCTGTAGGACCTTCATGTTTTGAAGAACTTAATGATATAGAATCTGAAACAGATGGATCAAGTAAGCATATGAAGCTAATATTACAGTCTTTAGTTTTATTCTTATTTTTTTAATTGTTTATCTCGTATATTTTTTTTATTTAGGTAGTCATTGGTCATCATTATCAAATAGCTCTTCAGAACACAATATTCATGGGTTTGTAAATATAAACTATTTATACAGTGATTTTGTTGCTATAATAATTAATAGTTATTTACTAAATATCTTTARTAAATAACTATTATTTTTTATAAAATACATGATAGAATAATTATTTTCTATCCATCAGATAGTAAAAAATAGTTATAATTTAATAAGTAGGTAATACTTAAACTGGTGGCAATATTATGATCTCACTCCATCCTTATTTTTTTAAACTAAAATTATAATAAAACGTTAAAAATTGTTTTTAAATATAAGCATGAGTCTATTATAAATTGCAATTAGATGTACTTATCTTAGATACACTGTAATGATAAATAATCTTTATAAATTTAAAGTGATGCAATAAATTGCTTTCTTCATGTCTCTAAATTGTACCTATGTCTTGAAATATCACTGAATTTCCAAGCATTTTAAAATTTTAGCTCTAAATTTTTCAATTAAATCCTTAACWTTAAATCTACATGTATATAAAATTCCAATAGATTTCAAGTGAATCAAACTTAAAAAAAAAAACACTGTCTTCATGTAAAATATGTAAAACCTCTGTATTTAATAAAACTTTAACTCTAAAACATACAAAACAAAAAACATTGTAAAATTATCTTTAACTAATTTGTCAGTAAAACATAATGTAATATCGTAATATTACCTAATATAAAATACAATTTTCTTTCTCATCAGTTTTATCAAAATCTTGTAATTGTTTAATTTGTCCTTCATACTTTTGTAATCTTAACATTTTATATTATACATAACTTTTAAAATATTTTCAGAGAAGAGGAAGATGATACTCATTTTAAACAAGAAGAATTGTGGGACTGTGATTCCTATCAATTTACAACTGATATATTTGATCCTAAAAGTTATTACTTTTACTTATTAGTAGTTAAATATTACATCAAAATATTTGTTTTATATTAAAAATATTTTGCTTTACTTATATGAATTACAGGTTTTGAATTGAATTTAATGAATGAATTAAGAACATTAGAAGTACCATTAACTTTTGATGAAAAAAAATATGTGCGAAAAGTGCGCTTAGCTAATGAACATTATTTTTGTCCTGGTGATGAACTTCCTAAGAAATTGTCAACTTCTAAATAATAATTAGTAAA